GCCTCTGGCGGCTCCTGTCGGCGGCGTCGGGCGGGTGTGGGGTTTGGGTTTTTGCGGGTTTTTTGTTGGTTTATTTTTCTCTCGCCCCGTGGGTATGGTAGCGGCGTAACACGGCTCTGGTTCTTGCTTGCCGGCTAAGCATAGCTAATGACGCAATAGACCCGAAACGTGTCGTTTGCAACGCGAGGTGTTAACTCCCGGGGCAAAGGGTGCTTTCTGGAGAGTTTGTCAGACGTGAATTGTGTTGGGTTTTTCGGATCGGATCCCTGCAGGGTGGTGGCTGTGACCGGTGGGAGCGGAGTTACAACAAGCGGTAGGGACATCTCTGCCTTGTAGGGTCTCCTCCCTCCGCTGCGTGTTTCTTTCAGGCGCTCCCTTGTGATTTCACACTTACCCTCTTCGTATCCTCAGCCTCCTCCTCCGCTTTTAAAGGACGTGTTGAAATTAGCATGTGAAACAATTGCTTTTCATTGTGGTCAAGGAAATGTTTTGGTTGGTCGGTTGGTCAGTTGGTTGGTTGGTTGGTTTCTGCCCTGGCATTTAGCAAAAGCCAACACAACCTACCAGAAGCCATTTCATACCTGGGAGAAGTTTTGCATGGCCCCTCTCTGACGTTTCTCCTCCCCGCTTCATTAAGTAATGTTGCTTATTTGCAGAGTTAAATGCATTTGAGCTAGCTCATCCTCTACACGGGACTGAAACAATAGTTCAGGCACATTGGGACGTGATTTTTAACCACAGCACATGCGAGTACTTACACACTCAGGAGCTCACTGGGAAATTCTGTGATTCTATGAAATGCACACCAAGTCCTACCATGTGACACTCAGGCCTGTTCCTCCAGCAGCCAAAGGCATCTCTGCCATTGACCAAGCCGTTCCTTCTTCTCCCAAGAGAGCTACAGATCGCTCATGAAGTTGTGTGGAGGTGTGACGTGCTGTGGGTACTGACCCAAGCAGTGGCTCTTCAGAGGCATTCTCTTCTGCCAAAACATTTCACTTCTGGCATCTAGGTAGAGAGGATTGCCTGTTGTCTTCAAATCTTCTGCCTCTGGTCTCCTAGCTAAGACTCTGCAAAAGGCAATGCTTGGGACAATGATTTTGGTGATCCTTTTCCAATAGAGAGCAGCCTGAATGCAGCAGTCATTGCATGAATCCCTAACCATCAGCTAACACCAGCTGGACCACTCTCAATGCAGAGACCGGATCTGAACAAAAGATGAAATACTAGTTTCTGCTCCCTTCTCTCTCAGTATTTGTAGAGATGACAGTCAAGAGGCTTCTACACAGCCCTGGTGAGAGGCACCTGGAGTGCTGGGTCCAGCTTTGGGCTCCCCAATATGGGACATGGACATGCTGGAGAGTCCAGCAAAGGGCCGAGAAGATTATTAAAGGATGGGAGCATCTCTCCTACAAGGAGAGGCTGAGAGAGCCGGGG